CTTTCAGTATTCGATGCATTTAATTAACGTTTATCTGTTTTGCATCGGAATCATGTTTATTTATTTGAGTTTGATCAATGTACATCAATGACATTTGATATACAGAATATAAACATGTAATAAAGATACGTATTTCTAGACTAAATGTATTGAAACAAAATGTTTCAAAGAATATGACATAAATTTGAAAATAAAGATCACCTCCATCATCAAAATTACCGGGTTAGAGAGAATGCGTTTTTTTACATTATTTATGATATATTATTTTCTAAAGAAAGAAAATCACATTTTCCTACACTCATTCTTTATCTACATATACATGTATGTTAAGTACTTATTACGTCAGGTGATTCGCAAGCATCTTAGATCTGCCCCTAAATGCTTGCTAATATAAACCGTTAACTCCTGCATCGTTTCCTGAAATAAATCTCTGACATCAAAGACGCTTTCAGTCACCTAAACGCTTTGAAATACCTTACACGCGCTGATACTGTAGAAAGAACAAAGTCCGCTTTGTGGCAAGACAGTTTAACTTTCAAGCTGAGTACAATAAATATAAATCAGTTAAAATACACCAAAACAACACATATTTTTTAAAATCTTTACTAGTTTCGACTGTTGTCTTCATCAGAATAACGTACATACAGTTGAAACATACATTACAAATAGTTTAATTTACTGATTAATCATTCTACATCGTTTCAAGAGAAATGACAGCATATCTTGACCAGTATTTATTAATTTCAGTTGGAAGCTAAACATTCATCCTTTGAAATTTGTTGTTATCGTTTGTTATTAAAGTGAAACTATGTTCATTTTTCCATTATCAAGTTGAGCTGATTTGAAAATATATTTTAAAAACATGTTAGAATGATGACCGGCAAACAGTTGATATGAGAAAATGATTAAGTTAAATTTTCAATCAGATTAAAATATATAAAAAAACTCTGTCCCACTATTTATAAAAATTGAATGTTACAGGTAAATTCCGATCGATTTTTACACAAACTTCCGTGGATCATGTGATTTATTTATTGTCCATGCGAAGTAAATTGAAAGAATTGGATTATGGCAAAATGTAAACTTTTTTACACTTAGTCACTTTAAGTATATTCTACTGTTACTTCGCTTATTATGGTACATATCATAACCTATATTTAATCAAAAATATTTTGCAACATTGCAACGTAAAATCAGTGTCGTAAAAATATCGTCTGATAGCACCATCAAATAATAACAACTCCGATGTGACGCTAAAAATCGTCTGCTGATAACCGACAACAAACGGGTATCGCTAAGATCTTGTGTTCTCTGTAAACTTTAGGCATATCAACTGTTCTGAAGATATCTCATATTGTAGAGAAATATATATTTACAATGCATTCAAAGCTATTTCTTCTTCGTTTGTCCGTATTAGTTTCTACACATATATAACTGATTTGCGGCGTATGAAAACTGTGTTTTTCACGAGCTTCATTTATTACTTTTAATGTAAACTATTTCTATAAATATTCACTATATTGTAGGGGCGAATGTATACTTCAAGATAAATAAATGCATTTATAGATTGCTCTGTCCGTTTGTCTGTTTTACTAGATAAAAGTTACAGTTGTGTCGCACAATAGGGAACGATCTGAGATAAGCATCGTATACGTCACTGATAAGAGACCTGTTCTAAAAATAGCCACATAGCGATAAGTTTCGGACAAGGAAACTGGTTAATCTACATGTAGATCATACAACATAATGGTTACGAATACTTTTATTCACATTTCTCTCAATGGAAATGATGTATCTGGAGTTAAACTTGCGTAAAGCATGATTGAAATGGTTTTAAAAAGATGATATGGTGAAAAAGAAATAATTTTCGGGGCAATACTTTCCCTGCATGTCAATTTGAGAAAAATGCCGGCGCTTGGCAATTTGTTCTTGTTTCACTTTTTATCAAAATTAGAAATGGTGATATATGGTATGATTTTAAGAAATTGGGACTAAAAATGAAAGAGTATCTGTCTGTCCCAGATATACCGTACAAAATTTTGTTTATATAAATACGTAGATTGGAGATGTCATGAATCTATCCACCAAAGTGCTACGAGTATTAGATTAATGGATTAATATCTTATTTCTTTAATAATTTTAGAATAATCAAAACTCTGCATTTTTCCTATTTTACCTAATAAAAAATGCCGATTCTAGTATAGTATTTATCTTATCAGAAATAATGTATACGTACATGCATGCTTGCATGTATAACTACCTGAATTGACAATTGAGGTCCGTGATTTAAAAAAAAAACATACACTGTTTACGTATAGACAATAAAATACATTTGTTTTTTATTTTATGTCTCACACAAAATATTTGTTGTTTAAATCATCGCCAATTACTGGTGCATTTTTTAAACTTTGTTTTATTGACAAGGTGTAAAGATGTATATAGAGGTCAGAGCAGATTGTGACATATGTTTAAATTTAACTTAAAAAAGTACAGTGTGTAGTGTCCCTTTTCTTTTCACACTAAATTCCATTTCCAACTTGTTTGCTTTCTACAATTGTATTAAATATCTTAAAATATTGCATGTAAACAAAGTAAATATACGCTGATTAACATCATGTATAATGTGTACTCCCTAATCCCTTGTCCGAAAGTCAGTACAGGTGATGTAGTGGTGATAAGGTAAAATCTATTTTTAGAACAGTGTTACCTTCAGATCGAAGGCTATTCAAATAAAATCCATTTTTTCATAATTTTCAATTATCAAGTTTGACCTTATTTGTTAAGATATCCTTATGAAACATATACCATATGGTATGAACACATGTCTACTTTAAGATAAATAAATGTATTATTAGATATATATGTCCGTTTATCCATGTTAGTGTCCAGAATTACATTAAAAATTATTGGCAAAAGCGCGCGCGCTTTTCATAATGTTTTATTCTTACGCAGGACGTTATATACAAAAGCATGTATACGTTATTCAATATATTGTAGAGACGAATGTATATGTCAAGGTACAGACATGCATCTTTATACAATTCTGTCAGTTTATCTGCTATAATAGCCACCTCCAGAAAAGAAGGACAATGTATATAAAATCGGTGTATTTCATATTTTTGAATATCAAGTTTGCCATTATTTATTAAGATATCTTCATAAACATATACCGTATTGTAGGGACATATATATCATTTCCAACAAAAAGAGTTATAAACAAAAACATACGTTTTTCGTTCCAAGATGGCGGCGTTTGTTTACATTTTGTAGGATACGACGCAGTTTTGATTCCCAGCCCTGATTGTAAGAATAAACATTGTTGAAAAAAACAACACATGCATGTATAAGTACGCCCGATGTTACTTCGCTGAATTCCGCGAACAATCGTGTTTTCGCAGTACCGTGTTATTAGGTCTTAAAAATTGCAAGTGTTATAATTTTATTTAGTTTAAATTGTTTAAGGCATAACTAGTACAAAGTAATATACATGTATGTTAGTTCTAGATCACAAATATGGGTATTACTTGATAGTCATGTGTTAGAAAATATACATTTAAAATATTGCAAGAAGTTGTTGGGAGTTAAAAGACAAACACACACTAATTTTGTCTATGGATAACTAGTAAAAGCAATGAGAGCTTTTAACGTTATAAAATACTAGTCAAGTAGTACAAAATATGTCAAAGCATTGTATGACCTTATGTGTAGAGATTTTGAACTACAACCAAATTCAGTATCCTGGGCTATGTCTGTTGTGTTTTTTGTTACAATCTTTAGGTTTCAATGAAGTATGGATTAATCTGGATGTTGGAGATATATATTTTGGGAAAAATTAAAATATACCTAAATTTATTGAATTGTTAACATCACCAAATGAAAATGTTATAAGAAATTTATCTATGGTAATCTTTAAAATGTTTGAATTAAGAACAAATGTTGAATACTTGTAAATTATATTTTGGAAGGTTTTCAAACTTTTATTTCCATCTGAAGTTTACATCAAGTAAACAACATAAGATTTTTTTATAATAGTAATAGTGAATATTAACTACCTTAATAGGTAAAAGGAATGCTTCTTCATTGATATCATTTAATAAAATTTGAGCCGCATTTACACACACAATGATGTAATAGGGTTATTCTGTTTTAGGGAAGTATCGCATTAGGATAGTCACACCTTAAGAAATTAAGGAGAATGTTGATCTTCTTAAGGTCTTTAAAATCTGAACCTTATGAAATTATCTTAAAAACATTTTAATTAAAAAAAAACATTATTGTTGTCAAAATAATATAAGAGTCGTTAAATTTATATACGATAAAAACGTGAAATTTGTTCAATAAAAAGATATTACAAACGTGCAGAAATACAATTCTCATTATCTACAAAGGAACAACAAGTTAATTGAACAGATAAGCAGTGTATTGCACCATTCATTTTAGTATGTTATTCATATTCCGACCTGAAACGAACTCTATTCTTTTGTGAGTTGGCGAAGTGATAAAAAAAACCGAAAATGAATTTCACGTAAGATAACACAAGGGATATAAACGCGTTTCATTACTACACAGTAAACAATATGAGTTGTATCCCTTAGAGCACTTTAATCTAATTTTTTAATTCTTTCTAATATATATGTAAACATTATCCTGTATATTTGGAAAAGTTGGCAGCAGGGGCTTCGTTGTGTCCAGATGGCTTCAGGGTTTTGTCACAATTCGAACTAAAATCAAGTAAATGAGTCAGCTTGTCTGTTTATATAATAAGTATGTGTTTTTGATGTATTATTAAAATTATTAAACTATCCTTACTCCATGCTTTAATATTCACCCTTTAAGGGCATGTCTTACAACATTTTCGAGATTTGTACTCGGCAGCGATAGTTGCTTTCTATGCCTTTACGGCGAGGACCCTCATAAAGCATCAGACATATACATATAGAGACATTTTTATATTGAAAGTGTCTCTAAATTTTACCGTAAAAAAGACAACAACGTGAATGTACAGTTTTCCATACCAATAGTGTGTATCAATTTCTTTGTTTAGAATCATGTTATTTATTACATTGAACAGATATGTAATTAAGGTCATAAATTTATTATACGATTTATCTGAAAAGGAAAAACAAGTGCGTATATTCATTCTTCACCAAACTGAACTGAAAATGTATTATTTTCTTTATTTAGTTTATTAAATGCCATTTGATTTATGCCAGTGATATACAGTGCAATCCACGGAAATGAAATAACATAAACATCATGTGAAAGAAACAAAAAACAAGAATATAAACATAAAATACATGTTAGCGTAAAGTTCTTTTTTTCAAATTGAAGTTTTATGATTTCACCAGTACACCTGAAAATGTATTCCAGTAGTTACCTGAAGCTCTTAATATACTACTACCGGCAGAACACTTTACGTTAACTTTTGAATCTTTTTGAAGTACGGCAACAGTGTCTGTAGTGTAACATGTATTCCATTTCTCATCACAGAACCATCCTTTCTTTATATCAACACCATCCGCAACTATTGCATAATACATATCTTTCCCACAAAACTGTACAGAAAACGTATATGTTCCCGCTACTGGTGCTGTAAATATCCCACTCTTGTTATCATACCCGAGACCTTCGTTCAACGTCGTCGTCTTAAACACAAGCGTTTCCCCAGAACTTGGTGTAAGGTCAACAAGGTCCTTACTTCTGAATGCGACTGTGGGCCCTAGATAAATGTAATTTAAATGTTTGTAAACAATATGTGGTGGCAAGAAACATTTTTAAATTGCAATATATGTTATTGTACGACACTATTGACCCTGCATTTATTGGTATTGGTGAAAATGTCGAGCTATGGATCTGAAGGTCTCTGATTCGATTCATAACCAACAACACGTTATGAAAATATACATTTTTTTCTAATTTACGTGCGAAAATTATTTTGGACTCGTTTTACTACAACTGGTTTTAGGAATGTTTTAAATTAGTTTTTTATACAATTATATTTTTTTTTATTTCATTACATGATCTTAAATAAAAGGACATGTATAGCTCATTTACAATACAAATTAATCAATCGGCTAGTCGATTTCACTGGCAATGTCAGTCGTACTGCCCATACTGCTGTCCTGTTGATGAAGTTGTTTCCTTTTTTTATCGGGATGTTTCCGTTAATACTTAGACGTACGGACAATCTAGAACTCATATTTTTCCACGGTTATCCATTTGACATTTTGCAATCGTACATGTTTTAGCCATACCCGCTATATATGCAGTTATCAAAAATACTTCACAGATAATATACATAAAACAATTAACAAGTTTTAAGAGAATGGCTATTTTGAAAGTAGAATTTAAAATAAATAAAAGTGGCGGAACCTACGTGGTTACGTCTATTTTCTTGAACTTATCGACTGTACTAAGAGGGATTCTTAATTAAGATGTTATATACATTCATATTGATTTACAAATATATCGTATCGTTTACGGAATTTAACAACAATAGGGTCATATGAAAGAGTTCAAGGTCAATAATGTGGGACAGTATCAATAGATTTAACAAGTTCTGTGTTCATATATAATTATTTTTACTTACTCTTTAACAACTGACTCTAAATAGGATTAAACTTGGTATTAAGCATCCTGACAAGTACAAGTAAAAATTTAATTAGAAATCTTAATCAAAACTTATTTTTCTTTAAATTGAAAGTTCACTTATCGTTGAATTCAATACTGAATAATATCTTTTACCAGCACTTTACAAATAATGTTAATTCTAAGCAAAGTATAATTCTAAGTAGTTTTACCTTTCAGTTTTTCCATTTCAACAGCAAAGTTTCTAACATTCTTATTGGTTTCCTCCGCCGACACATTTGCAACATGCTCCAATTTTATCTTTTCATTATTCCAGTCGTCACTAAGCTGCTTAGTTGTTTCTGTCAACTTTCCCAGGGCATCAAGCACTTGCTGCTGAGTTGCCGCCATATCCGCCTGCAGTTTCTCCATGGCTATTTCCTGTCGAATCATTTTGTTTAAAGTTTGTTCCTCATAGTGAAATCTAGAACATTCTGGTTCCGATAGCACTGCAGTAATAAATAGTAAAGCAACTGAACGCTGAAACATGTTTATATGTTGGCCCTTTCGAAGAATCAAATGTGATTTTCAAATGCGGGAGACGAGACTTTATGGAATATCAGTAATGAAATAACTTTCTTAAGGGTTGTTCCGCAAGTTATAATATCTTATTCAGATCTGTTCATTCCTTGAGGAACAAAAATAATTTAATGCTTTTTGTTTAAATAATTGTTAGTCTTAAATAACATTTTCTGATTTTATCCAATACTTTCCTAAATGCTAGTACATGTTATGTGTTTGTATTATCTGTTCTTCTTATTTATTCATTCATTATTATTTCATTATATTAAGTTTGGCTTTAATGACATCGTGTGTTGGTAACATCATTGTTAAAAATGAGAACAAAGATCAACATGGCAAGACGATGTTCACTGACATACACTAGCCATGCCAATACCTACATAACTTTCTCACATGAAATAATTTAAAGTCCAATTCATATCTCAAACTCACAGCGGTAAGGTGCAAATTGTATTAAGTCAACAACCTTGATCACTCGGCCACTGATGCCCCTGAGACGATAATGAACACACCGTAACACACCGTAACCTTTACTGTATTTGAATACAATACCGGTCAGTAAATATATATGCGGTTGTTTCTTAATTCAAAATTTCACCATTTTCGTGTTAAATGTTGAATTCTGCTTAAGCCGGTGCTAGGGGGCGTGGACGGTAATTTGCACCTTCCAGTACCGTTCATGAACAGACTCAATCAAACCGAGCCTGCAACATTTTTAATTTTGTCGTGTTGGACTTTCTTCAGGGATTCTGTTTCTCTCTATTTTATTGTCACATCCGTGTTATTTGTGCCGTGTGGCGGCTGTAAAAAGTCTCCCCGTACATTTAATCAATGATGTTATATTTTCGATCCTTGAAGATCGTTCAGCACGACATTATTGTTGTGTATACATGTAATGTGGTACTTTTAGTTTCTACTTTCGGCCATTTAAGCTTGGGTAGTTCCAGTATTCCTACTTGAATACTGTATAATCACTCTTAGGATATGTTGCCTGCTTTTTAAATTTGTCTTTTTGACGTCTTGTCTGTGATATGCAGGCTTCATAACCTGAGATCCCCTTTCAAAATTCTATTTTATTTAGTTCCGCCCATTGTTTTCTCGTTTAGGGCAAAAGCATTCTTTTACTTGGGGACCATACGCCGCTTTTCATGGAATGGCACTACTGTGTCACGTTGAAGGTTCCATGATGACCGCCGTATGAACACATCTGCGGATGTTTCTAAATTCAATATTTCACCATTTTCGTGTTAAATGTTGAATTCTGCTTAAGCCGGTGCTAGGGGGCGTGGACGGTAACTTGCACCTTCCAGTACCGTCCATGAACAGGCTCAACCAAACCGAGCCTGCAACATTTTTAATTTTGTCGTGTTGAACTTTCTATAGGGATTCTGTTTCTCTCTATTTTACGTATACGTTAACAGATTCCTTGTTCATCTTATTTTACATTGTTTGCATTACGAGTTATGTGTTTGTTTTCAGTTTGCTTTTGTTTTCTTTAAGCATTCATGCAACTTAGAAATATTATTTATCGTGTTAACGTCAAATTCAGATAGTCATAACACAATTGATGGTGTTTGATCTATTATTGTTTATAGCAATAAGTCATTATATTGACCCATTATATTGAGTTTTGGGTGGTTCCAGTATTTCTACTTGAATACTGTTTAATCACCCTTAGGATAAAGTTAGCGAAAAGATTACAAACGAACACTTAACGCACTAATTGAGCACCACCGGTGCTTCGCTCCAAATCATATGTGTTAACTACCCCTGAGTTTAATAATTTACTCTATTCAAGGGCCGGAAATTCACAAGCAATGTCGTCAATGTCCTAAGGTTGTTCTTTATGGAAATAGATATCTTTGTTATTTGTCTTTGAATATTTTCCTGGTTAGTGTGCCTAATTGTCAATAACACGAAAATATACTAAGTATAGGTGTCGTTTTTAAAGTCCGGAAATTTAAAATTGGTTGTGATTGAAAGCACTGCCATAAGATGACTACATAATTGATCTAAGAAATGATAATTTGATAAGTAGCGATACCGATTTGGTAATCATAAACCAGTAAATTCATGAGTTTAGTTTATTCTTAACCAAACTAGACCTATCACTGAAGGTGATAAATACCCCCACCCGCAACTTTGACTTTTTGAAAAAAAAGTAGTCTTAAAAAACATTTGAACACAAACTATCAACTGTGTACAAAGAAATATTTCAATTAATTGTAATCACAACTGGGGTCTCGAAATAAGCTTGCTATACACTAAGTTTGATTACAATATCTCATTCCTAACTCTAGTTATTGTCCGGACACAATTTTTCAATATTTAGTAACACTTTAACGGTGACCTTGACCCTAGGGGGTCCAAATGCAATACCAACCCAGGTCTTCATATAAGCTTCCTATACACCAAATTAGATTACAATATCTCATTCTTAACTCCAGTTATTGTCCAAAAGCCATTTTTCTTTTTTTCGTAACGGTGACCTTGACGTTGACCCCAGGGGACCCAAATGCAATACCAACCAAGGTCTTCATATAAGCTTGTTATACGCCAAGTTTCATAACAATATCTTATTCCTAACTCTAGTTATTGTCCGGAAACAATATTTCTATTTTTAGTAACACTGTAACGGTGACCTTGACCCTAGGGGGTCCAAATGCAATACCAACCCAGGTCTTCATATAAGCTTCCTTTACACCAAATTAGATTACAATATCTCATTCCTAACTCTAGTTATAGTCAGAAAACCATTTTTCTATTTTTCCTTACGGTGACCTTGACCCCAGGGGGCCCAAATGCAATACCAAGGGCCCAAATGCAATACCAACCCAGGTCTTCATAAAAGCTTGCTATACGCCAAGTTTGATAACAATATCTCATTCCTAAGTCAAATTATTGTCCGGAAACCATTTTTCTATTTTTAGCAACGGTGACCTTGAACTTGACCCCAGGGGGCCCAAATTCAATACCAACCCAGGTTTTCATATAAGCTTGCTATACATTAAGTTTGATAACAGTATCTCATTCCTAACTCTAGTTATTGTCCGGAAACCATTTTTCTATTTTTAGTAACGGTGACCTTGACCTTGACCCCAGGTGGCCCAAATGCAATACCAACCGGAGTTTCTACATAAGGTTGCTATATACCAAGTTTGATTACAATACCTCATTCCAAACTCTAGTTATCGTCCGGAAACCATGATGTGGACCGACCGACGGACCGACCGACCAACCGACCGACAAGCTGACTCCTATATACCCCCCCCCCTAAACTTCGTTTGTGTGGGTATAATTATTGAAGCATAAGAAAATGACTTAGTCATCTAATATTGTGTCATCATGTCTGCTTTTATAGTAACTGAGCATTTACGAAATAACACCGCGATGAACAATCATTCTGTTGCTAAGCTACCTTTTTCTACTCATTTTTTTGCAATGTATTATTTGAAGAGTTGCTCGTGGGAATTCTGTGTCGTAACCTTACATAAAACGAATACTCTTTAGTAAGGAGGCATCGTAATAAACTGATCATGAATCTCACTTTTAATAACACAAGGGGAATAACCGTGTGTTCTTAATACATAGTTTACAATATGAGTTCTATCCCTTAACAGATGAAATATTCTTTCTATTTTCTCCTATCGAATATATATGTAAACATCAAACTGTAGATCAAGTTTGCAGCTGTGGCTACGTAAAACAAACTTTATTAAGAATTTGACCACGTAGCAAGCATTTATTTATACATGTGTGGTTTTATTTAAACAATAATACGGGTATTTCCGTTTATTGGTTTAAAGGGATACACAGGCAAATTAATGACAAAATATTAAAATGATCTTATGTACTCAAATCACGCTAAAATGAAATTTTCTAACTCATAGAATGAATTTCTGTATACATTATATATATTTTGGGTTTGAAGCGTAAATATATGTATACATTTTAAACGAACTTTTGACGCCAACAGAATCACCGGAGTAGTTTTATAACAAGTCATGTGACTTGAACAAAACCTGGAAGTTACAACAACATATATTGTGGACATTGTATGATTAAAACAAGTCTAAGTCATTCATTTGACATGTTTGTAACATGTGCAGAGTTCACTGTGACAACTTTTGTGCAATTTTAACGCTCTAACCTGACCCACGTTGGTCAAATTAGGAAACCACCATTTCATTCTTTGTAAGAGAGAAAAGTATTGTTCCTGTGACAACCTAGTGTATTCATTTGATGACATTTATAGAATAATGAATGAAAAATTTAAAACAAAGGAATGAAACTTTTGTCTGTGTCTCCCTTTAATGGGGAGCGAATGACTAGTGGTTTAGGTATCTGCCGATTAAAACATTGATTTGAGACCTACTCAGGCCACAACTAGTTTTTCTTCAACCACACGAGTACTGTTTAGATCCAGGAATCGGCATTGAGAGTTGTTCAAGTATGTTTCAAGCTTTTATCGCAATCGCACTAAAATAAACAGACCTGGCTTGACTATACATATTCTGCATTTGTATTTGATCCAGAAAGAAACATATGTTCATATTCTTGTAAAGCCCTGTCTTGAGTTCTTTTTTTATTGTTCAATTCGAAACCTATCAGGAATCATAAACACGTCGCAACACACAAGGTATACAAGGAGTCATGAGAGGTTTTGTAAGATTACAGTATCTTTCTGAAACATACATCATCCACCGGAGTCAACAATGTTTGTACGATTGTGTTGTTTTCGTCCGAGAGATCGACTCTTTTATATAGAATGTTATACCTCTTTGCAATTATTTTACAGTAGTACCAACCATCATCAAATAAAACAAGGGCCATGTCAACATGGCCACCCCCGCCAAATGTGTTTACTCATTGGAAGAATGTATATGTTGTAGAGCAGAATAATTCAATTTTAAAAGGTCTTTTGATAATGAAAACTGATGGCTGAAGTGATTACAGATTTGAAATCTATGTGAATACTGATGGCTGAAAATAACAAAGGACAATAACTGAAAAATAATGCAAGGTAGGTTATCATTCTTGTGTGATGCACCCCTCCTCAGTAAAATCTATCCACCAATGAAGTTTCAAGTGGATACCTCAAATACTTTTTGAGATAAGCTCCGGACAAAATAGTATGAAAAAGAACAAAGGGCAATAACTCAAAAATTATAAAGGGAAGAGTTATCATTCTTGCGCACAGCATTCCTCCTCAATAAGATCTATCCACCTATGACGTTTCATGTTGACATCTCATTTGAGTTATGCTCCACTCAGGTAAAAAATTAAGTATGAAAAATAACAAAGGGCAATAAAATAAAAAAATATGAAAGGTAGAGTTTTCATTCTTGTGCACTGCTCACCTCACGAGTGAGATCTATCAACCTATGAAGTTTCATGTTGATATCTCAAAGGCTTTTAGAGTTATGCTCTGGACAAAAATTAATTTTGAAAAATAACAAAGGGCAATAACTCAAAAATTATGCAGGGTAGAGTTATCATTCTTGTGCACTGCACTCCTCCTCAATGAGGTCTATCCACCTATGAAGTTTCAAGTTGATACCTCAAATACCTTTTGAGATATGCTCTGGACAAAATGTCGGACGGAAGGACGGACGGATGGATGGACGGACGGATGAAGACTATTTCTATATCCCCCGCCGCCTTTCGGCGGGGGATAATAAGACGACATGTCGTGTTTTAAGTAATAGGAATGTGTTTATAAACAGTAAAGAAATTTTCGGGAACATACTGATTTTCAGTTAATTGTCGAGATTTTAAAAATAATAAGGAAAAATAAATTAGAAAACTTTATTTCATTATATACAGATATGTGGTCAGTGCACGTTATACATACATATACAAGACTAAAAATGTTATTAATGCATAAAAATATCAAAGATATTAAAATTAGATTGTGAGTCTGAACGAAATAGATTGACAATATGTTTTATCTCGATACAAATCGTACACCAAAGTTCTTATCCTGAAAAAGGGGTGATTGCACTTTTCTGAAAATGCGCTTTGTGTATGCTGTAAATCATTTCTTCTAAAAAGGGCATTCGGCTTATTTGTTATTGAATGTTTTATTCATTGTTCTTACATTATACATATGCGTTAAATAAAAAAGACATCTTTTACGCTGCGCCTTTTCTATGTTTACACTTCAAAAAAATAATGTTCAATGTAATTTATTACATTGATATGAATTTGAGCCCCCTCAGTTTACTATACAATTTATTTTAAAGGGCTTAAGTAATGCATGTACCAAACTGAAAATGTGTTAGTTAATCGTTTACGTACATTTAATACCATATAAGTTACGTAAAGAAGATATACCACGAAATCAATGTAAATGAAATTACATTTTGGAAGATGAGTTACATAAAACGCATTTATCCTTTTTGCAAATTAAAGGTTTATGAGTGAACCAGAACACCCGAAAAAGTAGTCCAAAGACCCGCTGATAATCTACCTGAACCACTAGAACATTTCACGTACACTTTTGAATCTTTTTGGAGAACAGCAACAGTCTCTGCGGTGTAACTTTTAATGTATTTTTCATCAGCAAACAACCCTTTGTTAATCTCTACACTGTCCGCAACTATTGCATAATACATATTTTTCCCACCATTAACACAAAGCTGCACAGAAAACGTATATGTTCCCGCTACCGGTGCTGTGAATATCCCACTCTTGTTATCATACCCGAGACCTTCGTTCAACGTCGTCGTCTTAAACACAAGCGTTTCCCCAGAACTTGGTGTTAGATCAACTAGGTCCTTGCTTCTAAATGCGACTGTGGGCCCTAAATAAATGTAATTCTTATGGTTTTAAAAACATTATGTGGTGAGAAATACATGTTTAAATTGAAATATATTTTATCAATACTAGATTAAACAAATTTTGTATCCAGCTTTTATCTTCATAGATCATTATAATAAAATACTTTCTAACAACTGAATCTACATGTGACTAGCATCCTGACAAGCACAAGTAAATATTTTTAAATATCCTAATTGAAAAGCATTTTATTAAAATTGAAGGTATACATGTTGAATACAATATTGAAACAATCACTATCTCATTAAACGGCAGCTAACAAATTATGCTAATTCTAAGTAAAGTATAATTTTAAGTAGTTTTACCTTTCAGTTTTTCCAAATCAGCAGCAAAGTTTCTAATATTTCTATTTGTTTCCTTTGTCAATTTATTGATTTCACGTTTCATCTTTGCCATTTCATTATGAATGCTTTTATTGGTTTCCTCCATGAAGTCATTTCTTTCACGTTCCAATTTTATCTTTTCATTATTCCAGTCGTCACTTAGCTGCTGGGTTGTTTCTGTTAACTTTTCTAGAGCATCAATCACTTGCTGCTGAGTTGCCGCCATATCCGTCTGCAGTTTTTCCATGGCTATTTCCTGCCGAATCATTTTGTTTAAAGTTTGTTCCTCATAGTGAAATCTTGAACATTCTGGTTCTGACAGCACTGCAGTGATAAACAGTAAGGCAACTGAACTTTGAAACATGTTTATATTTTGCCTCTGCCGAAGAAACAATTGTGATATTCAAATGCGAGAGACTTTATAGGACACTCGTAATGAAATAACTTGACAAAGGGTTGTTTCGCAAGTTATTACTTCTCATTCCTTAAGATTTACGAATCATTTTATACTTATTAGAAAACTTTTGCTACAATGAAGAAAACACAATTCCGAGATCTTTCGTTACTTTGTTTTCATAAAACATACAATAGAATCACTACTTAAGACCACCCCGTTATTACGACAATTTCAAAAAAATAATAAGACCCTTATGTCAATGGCTACATGAAGCACGATATGGACCGCCCTACTAATCCACTTTTAAGACCACAATATTCAGTCCCAATTTTTTGTTTTATTCATTATTTGACCCCATTATTAAAACCACTGATATTAAAGTCAACAGCTATCTAGATCTTAAATTTGTTGTTATTATCTGCTTAAATGCTCTGAGTCCAGTTTTGGACTTTCTTTCGGGATTCTTATTTTTTCAATTTTATCACCATATCAGCGTTGTTTTTGTTGTATGGATGCTGTTAACAGTCGCCCTGTACATTCAATCAGAGATGTTATATTTCTGTTCATTAAAGACCGTTCAACACGAGAATATTGTTGTGTTTGTGGTATTTTAGTTTCAACTATTTGACTTTTTCGTTTATGATGGTTCCAATAGTCCTACTTGAATAATGTTGAATCACTCTTAGGATATGCTTCCTGCTTTTTGAATTTGTCTTTCGACGTCTTGTCTGTGATATGCACGACACAAAATTTCATTTTATTTAGTTTCGCCCATTGTTTTCTCGTTTAGGGCCCCCGCATTCTTTTACTTTGGGGCCATACGCCGCTTTTAATGGAATGACACTACTGTGTCACAATAAAGGTTGTTCCATGATAACCGCCGTACGAACACATTCGGATGTTTCTAAATTCAAAATTTTATCTTTTACCATTTCACGTTTAAATGTTGAACTCTGGTTAAGCCGGTGCTAGAGGGCGTGTACGGTAGCTTGCACTTTCCAGTACCGTCTATGAATAGGCTGAATCAAACCGAGCCTGCAACATTTTCAATTTGCCGTCTTGGTCTTTTTTTATTGAATCTTATTTTCTCTTTTTTGTTTAAGCAGCTAATCATATTTATTAGACTGCCTTTTTTATTTCTGTCAGATAACGTAAATGATTTTTGATGTGGGCGTGTGAAGGTCAAGTAATTTGCCATTTATTGATTATATTGGTACTTTAAACCCTGTTAACAGTGCTACATTCTTGGATCTGAAAAGTTTCATGGTGAAATACATGGTATATACTTTGTATTAGTATATTTATTATTGGACACCCCTTTCAAGCCTGATTATTTTGTTTTTCTCTCGTTTTTATCTAATGACAACTTACAATGTCCTTTACATTAAATAGGACATGCCTTGCATAAACTATTTTGTTATAGTGTTAATATAATAATTTATAACAGCAGGCGGACGGAATGATAACTTTACAGAAACCTTCAAAGACACAAAGTAAAAACAAACACTCTTGTTCATTAATATGCTTAAATAGGCTTATTTATGTAATATTATCACATGGTTAACAAGAACCTTCATATCTATTAGATTATGTTTTTCGTTTTATGTCAAAAACTTCAATGGATTTTATAAATTGGCAAAGCAAAGTAAAAGAAATCAAAACATAAATTTTGCAAAGGCAGCTTTGAAGTTTAGTTTAAACATATATTATTTCTAATTATATACATGTTTCAATTTACAATGTACATAAAGCATTCAAAATATTCTTTCAAAATAGAATCAGACAGTTGCGTACCATGGCTTATTTTGAGTATATGCCGAGTTCAGGTCTTTCGCCGAAGGGTTCCCAGAGATATCTAAGCGATAAAATGTCATTTAATTGTGCTAGAGTTGTGTTTATCCCAAGCTGAAAGTATCTAAAATGAAAATATATCGGGTATTTGTATTTAATGTAAGAGAAATTGAACGAAGTGTAGCGTGTACACTGTCTTAAATACTTCAAATTTATTTACTATTAGAAAAACAAAACATAACCAGGTGTCTCTATTGTAACCAAGATGTATTTTATTTCCTTTTTAACAAGTTTGTTTGTAAATTTTCGTTTGTTTCACCCTAACTTAACACGATAAAAATCAAGGAAAATATGTTAAAAACTGATCTGTATGACGATAATACAAACACAACAGCTTAAATATTTTAGTGTGATAATAAGTTGTCGTATTTACAGCTTAAGTTCAGTACCCGGGGTCTTTTGGGTCCCTTAAATATATTTCCAAACGCGAAATGTTATTGTTAAGGAAAATAATTATTGTCTTTCACATTTTTTCCCTCAACTCTTCTCTTTCAATTTTCATTCGAAATATTTAAGTTATTTCATTTTAATGCACATAAAATTCGCCAACTCGTTATCTAAAGCCGGCGAAAATAAAAGAATTGGGATATGACGTGTCTTATATGGCTTTACATTGTTCACGTTGTTTATTTTTCTATGTTTTATATTTACGGATGAGACTACGTAAAATGAAGAATTTAAGTCATTGTTTGCAGAAGTATGCAAATAATTTCTTTACTCACTAAAATAAGACAGTAGAAAAAAGGTTCTATTACGTTTCGGTAATAGTGATATATTTTGTATATATTCCTTTTTATGATTTGATTATTAATATCATCCGGGCTACGCTGTCATGATAATTATTGATTCCTCGCATCCGAACTCCAAACAGAAATTTCATTGAGCGATAAAATCACTGTTTGGGATATCTTTTCTTAAATAATCTGCCAGTCGATTTTCATACTTCGTGTCGTTAATAAAGGAGTCAAATAAGTTTATTTAGACTTAGTATTAATGGCCAATGGTCGAAAACTTAAGTAACAATTCACAGCCTTATGATATTTGGTATACAGCATCAACACATGGTCCCATACGGTTGGATTTGATTTCAGGTCTGTCGCTCATCCACTTCCTGTTTGCCGACTTAGTTAAATTTTCGACAATTATGGCCAATGGTAGAAAACTTAAGTAACAATTCACAGCCTTATGATATTTGGTATACAGCATCAACACATGGTCCCATACGGTTGGATTTGATTTCAGGTCTGTCGCTCATCCACTTCCTGTTTACCGACTTTGTTAAATTTTCGACAATTATGGCCAATGGTAGAACATTTAAGTAACAATTCACAGCTTTTTGATATTTGGTATACAGCATCAACACATGGTCCCATACCGTTGGATTTGATTTCAGGTCTGTCGCTCATCCACTTCCTGTTTGCCAACTTAGTTAAATTTTCAACATTAATGGTCAATGGTAGGAAATTTTTCGTAACAGTTTACTCAGCAACTACTTATCACAGCCTTCTGATATTTGGTATACAGCATTAACACATGGTCCCATACCGTGGGATTTGATTTCATGTCTGTAGCTCATCCACTTCCTGTTTGCCGACTTAGTTAAATTTTTGACATAATTAATGATCAATAGTAGGAAATTTTCGTAACAGTTTTCTCAGCAACTACTTACCACAGCCTCTTGATATGTGGTTCACAGCATTGACATGTGGTCCCATATTGTGGGATTCCATTTCAGGTCTGTTGCTCATCTACTTCCGGTTTACTGACTTAGTTTAATTTTCAACATCAATGGTCAGTGGTAGAAAATGTAAGTAACAATTCACAGTCTTATGATATTTTTGTATACATATGCAACCCGGCCTTTTCTGTCTTTGACCCATATTTTACTGTTAAAGCTTCATTATGCATTACCCGTCAAAATAGATAAGTAAACCTGTTGGGCTTATTTTCCGAGCTGTAACTGTAAAAGTTTGATTGTACCTACGGATTAGTTGGGAAAAAACAACAACAAAATATTTTAATTCCGGATTAAGTCTGTGAGATGCTCCGTTTAATTGAGCCTGTTCATTGATGGTCACGCGCTAAAGCGTGACACCCCCTCACAAGTGTTTTTCCGATTATACATTTAAAATCAAATATTGACTGAATTTTGTATGTTAGTATGAGGTTGTATAGTTATATTGAAAATTTTCAAACCTTTTCCCTTCTTTTCTCTCAGTATTTCCTAACTATTACACCATTCATACACACAGGTAAAATATCAAAAGCTTGGTTATTTTGTCACAATCACCCAGTTTATGAAGGATTCATAAATACCTCACGTTTAAATATTTAAAATTATATAAATTTCTGAAAATAAATGACTTATTTTTATTTCAAATCATACATTACAAAAATAATTATCAATTCAAAAGAACGCCTGTAAATGTGTTCCATTTGTCACCATCTTGTAATAGTTTCGCTGATCCGGATGTACATTGTATTAAGACATGGTCCCCGGTCTTTAATAGCGCCACTGCGTCCGCTGTATAACATTTGTTGTAAGTACCATCCCCAAAATATCCCTTTTTCAATGCAACGTCGTTAGCCAATATTGCCCAATGCAGATAGTTATTTCCTGTGTGATAGTAAAAAATATTTTATACCATAAACCTACCCAATTCGTTGAGCTTTGAATTTGAATCTGAATTTGCACCAAATTTAAAGAAAAACACTAACTACCAACAGTTCTAGACATTCACGTCGGGTTCAAGCAAGGTAAATGTTTAAAAAATAACATTAGTTAGTTATTACATCATTCAAATAAAACTTTATTAAAATCAAACTTGTGACCTTTTATATGAATAAAAACAAAAACTAATACCTTGGTGATAGGGGCGTGGACGAGAGATTGCACATAACAGTACCGTTCATGAACAGGCACAATCAATTTGAAACCGAGTCTGCAACATTTTCAATTTTCCCGTTTTGGATTTTCTTTAGGGATTCTATTTTCTAAATTTTGTACATAATACAGATATACTGAGTGTGCTGTGAGGTAAAAAAGATAGTGTTTTTACAAACTGTCAAGCGCTAGTGTTACAATGCGATTCGTGGCGTTTTAATGCAATGGATTTTAGTTTAGTTTCCTCGCTTATACAACTTAAACGGCATTGATATTACAACTATTATCAAAGAAAGCTTAAATACGTAACTATGCCCTTTCATGATTTAAACAGTACACGCGTTGGAATGGACTTAACCTGGTTAAGCAATGAAACTAGAACTCCGCGAGTCGGATGTGTCGCCTTGTAAACAATATAGTTTGGGAGAAATGGCCAGGACAATGAAATATGTAAATTAACAAAGGGCAATAACTCAAAAAATAAGAAGTGCAGAGCACCGGTTCTTGTGCACTGCACTTTTGCTTAATAATATCGATCAAGTTTCAGTTTTATATATATTAGGAGAAATGGCCCGGACAAAAAAAAAGCATGAAAATTAACAACGGGCAATTACTCAAAAATTAAGAAGTGCAGAGTACCGGTTCTTGTGCACTGCACTTCGGGTCATTATAAGAAGCATGCATACCAAGTTTGAAGTCAATCCGACTTATAATGACTGACTTATGCTCCGGACAAGCTTAAGGGGACGCCGACAACGATGCCGACGCCGACAATGACGCCGACGCCGTCGACAAAAGTAAACCCTATACGTCGCCTTTTTCAAGGCGAAACAAAAATAGTACCGCCTTATTTACCAATGCCAGGTCGAATGCTGACAAACAGTATCACTAACATACCGCAATTATTATACATGCTAGGACAATTGCTTTAAAAAGGTATAAAAAACACAACCCCATATGTCCTTTTGTGTTAACCAAGTTATCCTGTGAATACATGTATGTCTTATTACAGTGTAGCAGTACGATAGTCATTCAGCTAATTTGCATTAAACTGTAAACACGGGAAAGGTCCTTTCAAGACGTGTACACAACAATAGGATATATAAATTATGAAAACAAAAAATATGATAAACAAGATCAACAAAGAAAGGCGACGTTCAATGAACGCAACCCCCACACGATCAAGAAGGGTGTCAATCACCAACACAACCAAGTAAAATACCGTATAACAAAAAGATGTTTATAAGGAGAACACTAAACTGGAGCCATAAAACCATATTGATACTGTATAAGTCTAAAAGAGCCAAACGAATAATGCTCAAACAAAAAAATAATTTCGCTTCTTTCACGATCGTTTCGTGTTTTGTATATTCTTACCATATACACACATCTGCGTGGTGAAGAGATAGGTGCCGTCTTTCGGAGCTGTAAATATTCCAGTCGTGTTATCATAACCACTACCTTCATTTAATGACGTTTTACCAAAGATAATTGTTTGGTTTGAAGTAACCGTTTCATTGACCGAGTCTTTACTTTGAAAAGCAATAGCTTGACCACTCGTCGAGGCTGCAATATAATTGAAGTATACTTCATGTGACATGGCAAAACTGCAGTACTTATTATGAAAAAGTTCATCAGGCCCATTCCATGCGATAGAAGATAGCCAAACTCCTGAATAAAGGCAGCGACAATAGCTATGCTGCCTATGCATCCACGCCACCCTCGCGTTTCTTTAAGGGGTGGATTCATCACTTCCCGTATTTTGTTACCTATTGAATTACGTCATTATATTTATTCGGAAACATCGTAAACAAGAAATGCACTTTCCGCGGAGTATTTGAAATGCCAACTTTTATGCAAATTATCCAAGTATAAGTAGAATGTAGGAAAATATGAATTATGCCTACATTACTTAGTTAAAGAAATGATTCCTAGTCCGATAAAGTCTAAATGATATCTTTTACCTACTGAAGTATTTTGCCGACATAAAGTTCATGCTGCATTGAAAAGGTAACAAACAAGGCAAAAACAATAACTCGACAAATAATCAATTCTAAGTAAAGCGTTATTATATAAATAACTTATTGGTTTGTGGGTAACAGTAAAACTATTATCCCGAGGAAAAAACTGTTACCCGAGGCGTGTACCAATGGTAACAATACTGGGAAGGGCTTAATCTAATGTTGTAAGAACTTGTTGCCCAACCCATTTGCATTTTGATATATACTAATTATTTGTATGATATGTTTGTAAACATGTATTTAATGCAATAAAATATGTTTAAACTAATGGTAACAATATATTTACCACAGGGATGATATTTGTACATTAACCCACATACCCCTGTGTTATTTATTTCATTACCCCTAACAAAGATTGTGATGATCTGAAATGGTCAACAAAATCTAACTGTAACAAAATTGAACCAGGAGTAAAAATAACTCAACTCTTCTTACCTTGTAAGTGTAATTGATAAGTTATCTTTCTTCTATTCTTTAAGCAAATGATGAAATCTACCAGTCATAAACATACAATAAGCTGTGTTTCATTTAGAAATCAAAACACAAACCCATTTATACGGTAATGATCTGTGAAATCTGTACCTACTGTATCCAGAATATTCTTCAAATTCGACAAAGTGCATTTACGAAATTACGACGCTATCCTATTCTGTCTACCATACCCGTCAGGTTTCACTGATTAAATTTGTTAAAATTTAATTATCCTTTGCTTTGATTGTAAGGTTGTTCCATTTTGACACATTATTAATCCCATTTAGGTCACATTACTCTATTGTAACATGGCCTGCAATTGGTTGCAAAAAGTGCAGGGGAAACCAATAAGATTCAATGGGACATCAGGCGATTGGAAGAAAATGTAATGTTAAGAAGTTGGAAAATTATTTTAGAAACTGCATTGTTTTCTTAAGAAAATGAACAAATGAGCTGTTTCATAAGTGTCTCGGATAATTTTTCATTTGGATATTTGCATTTTACAAAAGTATATGTCAGTTTTGTGATCCGCAGAAAAATTCAGTGAAAATGGGGGTGGTAATAATCTTTTTGGGAAAATTTGGCTGGTCAACCCTATAATACAACATCAATCTAATGTGTCAGACATGTCATTCTTCTAGAGTCTAGACATGCATCTTTAGCTTGATTACTCAATTTTAAGGTTAATTTAGTGGTCATTTCTTATAATGTAAGTCTATGGGAAAATTCATACAGTAGTCTGACCTGCAATTACTTCCGAAGAAAACGGATTTTTACATCAAAAGATATTTATGACACAAAAAGCACTAAAGAAGTAATTTTTAGAGTTGTAGAATTTTCGTAGTCACTTTGACCTTTAATGCACCTTCGAAGTGAATATCGAATAAAATTAGAGGCTAAAACGAGAAAAAGGCGGCCATTTTATTATTTTATGAAAATAAACTACGTGACCAAATTCTATACTCTTAAAAAGTACTGTTACTTTGTAACAGAATAAATTTCTTTGTCACGTGGTACACTTACAGTATGAATAACTCCCTGTGGCCGATGGGAAATTAACAATACAAAAAAGTGAGGGGTAATAAATTTAGCTCACCGCAAGCGTCTGTGTTACAAGATGATATCTGCGTCGAGTCGCCCTGGCAGTATCGTCCGAGGGCAGATGGAGCAGGATTTGTACATGTCCTTTTCCGAGACTCGAACCCTCCCCCACATGATGCACTACATTTTGTCCATGAATTCCAATTCGTCCAGCCTCCATCTATAAAAACGTAAACAAACTATCCGCTTACGAAGTATTGGACTGAGGACAAACAACAAATCTAAAACTTTCTGAAAATAATAAACGTAATTAATATTATTAGAACTTAACAATATCAATAAGCGGATGTGATAATAGTTATTGCTTCAATTTACATGAAATATTTTTTGGTTGGGGTTTACGTTGCACCAACATTTTAAAAGCCATATGGGTCTTTCCAGCTTTACTGATGGAGGATGACCTCAGGCGCTTCTCCTTGAATTATTTTTGGAAAAAATGGGCACATGAGTAGAACCACCGACGTTCCGCAAGGTAGCTAGAAAACTTCTCCACATAAATGAATCAAAAGTCTCTTGTACACAGATGTGGGCAATAAAAGAAATTCACATATTTCGATGGTGCAGTTTGAATAATCATTTGTTTTATATTTTTATGGTAAACAGATTTCGTTTGAGCAGATTCTCGAGAGACTGGTCATCTTGAGCGAAAAAGGCAAAAGTACCAACTCTGATTTGCTTCTGAATAATACACGGTCTCAATATAGAACAAACAATCACCAATGATTCGAAGATTTTTCATGTGCTGGGCCATTATATCAAAAGTAATTTTGGTGATTTTGCTTACTCAAATATGATCGTGAGAATAAACATTGTTGAAAATAGTAACATGTGCGTGTATAATTACGCTCGATATTACTTCTTTGAATTCCGTGAACAAGCGTGTTTTCGCAGTAACGTGTTGTTACATCGTAAAAAGTGCAAGCAAATGTTATATATTCTTTACAAATAAATATATGTCAATTATTTCTATGCAATGTATTTTTATTTTACAAATGTTTATCAAGCTTTTGTCGTCAAGAAGGGAGAATTGTGAGTTCAGAAGTATCGCGCATGAATACATTTGTATACATTATTTTATGACATGAATTATTATTAAGGCCTCTCGCTGAGTCAGTTGTACCAATAAGGGTAGCTGTATTATCTCTTTGATATCGGTGAAAATTGTGCAAGTATATTGTTACTATGCGTCTTAAACATGAATAATTCAATTCTTAATTTGCCTCAATCTCATGGACATTCAACATTTGTTTTTAACCTGGTTGAACATGAATAAAAACACCAACTTGAAGGTCAATTTTTTTTTTGCTGTAACTGGCTATAACTTAATTATTGAATGGATATCACATGATACTTACATGTTTTCAAATTCGTTATGGCTTACCGCAAACAGAACGTTCGGTGCTTGCTTTGATTGAAAGAGTAATTGCTATGAAAAATATCTTGTTTTTGTCATTGTCATTAAGTAAATCGCAAAAAGTATGATGTAACTGTTAAGGCTGTACCATATGTACTGTGGTATCTTTAACTAAGATTAAAAAAATACATATACAAATGAATTTCATTTTCGAACAAATCAACAAAACGAAATAATTTATGAACATTAATAAAGACGATTTAATAATAGGTTGATACATTCAATTATATGCACACGTATCAACATTCAACGTGAAATATACCTGCACAAGAACCTGGTTGGCATATTTGTACATCAATAGCTTCACCAAAACAGTGAAGACCTAGGGCACTCGGGAAAGGGTTTGAACAGCTTCGGTGTCGTTTTTGAATTCCAACACCGCACGTGACGGAGCACGATTCCCAAATACCCCATCCACTCCATCCTCCGTTAACTACGGACGAAACAAATATGGCATTTTAGTAATAAATTCAACCCTTTTAGTCATAAAATTGAACTTATAGAATATAACTTAAAGCTACCTTAACTGTCGGTCACATTTGATTTATAACGGTCAGTGTCTGAAAGGAAGGGCACTATCCCCTATGAATACAACATACACGAAAGGAAGAGTGTCTTGACCGGAAAGGACGCTCGAAAAATCGGCCATGCGAGGCCGAGATTCAGACGTATGGTTTGATTAGTAAAGAAATCGACACGAGTGGGCATAATATTTACCCTGTAGTGAGTTCACGACACTTACTTAGACGATTTTAATAAAATACTAGATGTATTATAGCAAAAATACGACTTAATATTCTTTAACAAAACAAACAAATCATGCCATGACATTTTAGCATGTACCTGTGTACGTCATATTAATATCCTGTGTAATTTAAAGGGTCCAGAAGGAAGGATCATAATAGTTGGTTCATAAAATCAACATGGTTACATGACACGGGAAACAAGAAACGCAATATGATGATTACCATTTTTTTTTTGGAAGACTTTTTAAAATCTGTTCTTTTTGACGTAATATTTAATATATATTTAGTCTAAAATAAAATTTTCGTTCAGCACAGTATGCAAGAATATGCTAAAACGTACCAGGACATATACCACTTCTACATGTCATGGTCTCAGAACTTTTTCCTACACAGTCATATCCACCATCACGTGGCGCCGGATTGGTGCAGGTGCGAGTACGGGATATGACGCCATTTCCGCACGTGACGTCACAACTTGACCAAGCGGACCACGCCGCCCAATTGCCATCAACTGTCAAAAAATGTAAGCGTTTAAATGATTACTTGTAGTAATTTGAATGGTTAAGGATTGTTATTTCATACATAAGTTAGATATACATATATGATGTTTTCTTCGAAAGAAACATCTATTACTTGATGAGCATTAAATCGGAATGTCGAAAACTACGTTTTTATGTTTAGTCTTTGAAATATAAGTATACCTTTGTCAGACTATCTATGGATTACTTATGAAAGAAAATAAATTACCAAGATTGCATAGTCCACAGAATTTAGCGCACACAGTTTTCGCGTGATGTTTGTCTTTACAGACGCCAAACAATGAATTTAACTGAGAACAATCGACCGACTCGTCGTTTGCACACACTGCAGCTGAAAGAAAACAATATCGGCGCATAAGGTTAAAGGCCTGTTTTGTCCCAGAAATGCTCTTGTCGTCATTTTTCAAGAGCTCTATAGTTTTCGTGTCGTGTTATAATTCTCAAAATAATACCTACTGGCTACTGCCAAGACCTGAACCATCCCTTGTTTTGCAATAAGTACCGTTATAGAGATTAAGTATCATGAATGGAAGTAAAAATCATACTTTATATACAATTTGCTACATTTATTGACTTAAGGAGCACTTTAGCAAATATGTAAAAGTAATATGTATTCAATATTTTCCCTTTCTAAGAAAGGGAATAAAAGAATATTAGTGCAATATGTGCCTTTAACTATAACTTATTTACTAGACTTCATGCCGTTTACTTTTAACGCCATTTTAAGCTATCGAAAAAAAAAATAAATAGAAAAATACATTATTATAGATAAATAAATAAAAAAGACTGATTAAACCACATGTTATGGCCACAATGGTATTAAAAATATAACCATTCTATCGCATTACGGCCACAGTCGGGAACATAGTTGTTTTTCTTTAAAAGTGGTTGCATTGAAATGTCTCTCAAAAATATGGTTCTTTAAATCACTTTTCCTTTTTATTATTACAGTTCAGACCTTTTTAAAATTACATAATTATAATTACATATTCAAAGCACCAATTAATACTGTCTAAAAATGTCATTAACTTATTTTACAATTATTGTGTTATATTATACAAAAACCAGAGAATTTTGAAATAAAGATTTTAAATTATAATTGAAACCGCAATGTAAAGTTAGCATAAATATTCACATGGTTGAATAGAAAGCAAGAGCTTAAAACTTATTAACCTCAGAAATCACATATAATAATCACTAAAACACTATGTGATTAACTGTTAAGTCACAACGAAATTTCGCCATATACATACAAAGAAACAGGTAAAGAAAGACAACTCGTGACAGACATAAGGTATTTCTTTATCATGATTATCGCCCTTAGTATTTTAAATCACATCACACGTGAAATATATGTGAATTTTCAAAGATTTTCATAGATTACAGGTTTATTTATAATAGGTAAATATATCTTAACAACGGTCCATGATGTTAAATGATGTATTTTCTCTTGTACAAGAATTGGATATTTATTTTCTTACAAAATAAATTAATGATTTAAAATACGAAAACGGAAGTTAAACTTAGAAACTCACGTGCCGGATGTGAACACAAGTTTTCATTACATCTGTCTGTAGAGCAACATTCGTGGCAATTTGCCGGAACATCTTCCACGGATCTTCCTATAATATTCGATCCGGCGGATAAATCACATTTCTGGAACAGGTATTATTTGATACAGGTATAGTATTTGATTAGTTAAATTCTCTATTTGATACACAAACACTTAAATAATCTTACTTAGAAAAATGGAAATGTTACAGGCTCGGTCAGAATGAGTCTGTTCATGTACGGAAAATGCAAAAATGCCGTCAAGGCTCCCTAGCACCGACCTAAGTATTTCAACATTTAAACATGAAAATGATACAAATTGCAGACTCGATATGTTTGAGTGTGTCCAAAGGAAATGATGAGAAAAAAATGTAACAACAATGAAGTGAAGTGCGAAGCAACTTTTCCAGCGGCACTTGACACCTGGTTGTTGTATAGTAAAAATCTTGAAAAGGGATGATCTCTCGGAAGCAACGAAAAACAACAAAAGTGAATTGGGTGACCCAGGCGGTGCAGGTCAATTTTGTTGCGACTGATAATGAACTCTTTTCTACGGTCATTTGCACTGTACATCACTTCTGGCATGTAAACATTTATCAGTTCTTGCGAAAGTGAAGGTAACTAGTACTGGTAAACGGCTTGACAGCTTGCCCAAGAACGATACAGTGGCTGAACCATATTCTGGTAAATTCAATGTGGCTAACTGCCGTGATCGAGAGTGGAAAGTACCAGTACCACTACCAATCTATCTGAGACAATGATATAAAAGAGGTACATAAAAAATTGAAGACTCGGGATGAGTCTGTCGGTGAGAGACTGTGAAAACGCTCATGGCGACAAACTGTATATTTGTATAAAATAAGAAAAACATACCGTATTATCTATACATCCATGTACTGTCACGTGAGCAGATACGTCCTTAAAACAAGACTGAAAAAATACAAGAATTTATGAATAAAAATGTATTGTGAATGATTTAAATACCACTATGGGTGACAGTGAGTATCTCACCACCCACCTGCCTGTCAACGAAAAAATATTGTACATGCATTTGATAGTGAAAAACGGAATCTCTAAAGAACGCCCAAAACGAAAAAAAAAACGCAATTTACAGTCCACGCCACCCTTACACCGATCTAAGCAGAATTAAACAATTAAACATGAAAATATCGATATTTGGAACATCCCCAGAAATCCGTTATAAAGCTCGATATTATATGAAAACATATTTTAAATAGTGTTTTGCATTTTATTGTGAAACTCAAAGTTATGTTTATAGAACAAAATTTGACATACTGCTGTATCAAATTTACTTTATGAACAAATTTGGATCAAATTCAATTTACCTTATCAATTATTATTACAGAAAAATTCTAATATTAACATTATTTATTAAAATGCTGTGCTTTATAAAATACCGTAGTGTTACAGCCAGCATCTGTAAACAAAATGAATGTCGTTTTATGAATCTAATTTTATTGTACTATTAGTTATCTGTTACGTTCATATCAAACTGTACGCTTATTATTATTTTGTCCGTTGGGCATTAAATGAACCACCTCTAAGTATTAAAGGTCCCCTTGTGGCTAAGGGATTGCCTTTACGTGTTGAAGCATCAGAATTGCAGCCACCGTTTAGCCCTGCGTGTTCATAAGAGACGACTAAATGGGTTCGGGATGCATCTCTAAGTTCCAGCATGCGAGGTGGTTGACCCCCGGCGTTGATTTAAGTTTGTAACACCCCTGGTTTGCCAAAATTATCTTTACTGTTTCGGCGCCATATGACCTAAATTGTGTTGATGCGCCGTCAAATCAAATAGAAAAAAGGGTGTTACATGAGACATCCGCAATGTCTAAATGCAATTTTCTAAATGTACATTTATGTTTCACTAATCTGTATAATTTATCAAGTTATCTGCTAACATTCAACCATTTAAATGACAAGCATTATCTGTAGTGACTTAAAGCTACATTTAATAAATTTCATAAAAAAACTAAATAGCGACATTTCATTAATAAATTGGGTTTTATATCGACTCAAGGTCTTATGTTGGTGTCCAGACAACCAAAATTAGCATAAAAAAGGGTAACCTCATTGTGGCGAAATGGGATGTACAATTTCTGTTTGCATGAGAAACTCCGCCTTCGGATCATCCGTACATCAATCATGACTATAAGAAGCGGTATATTTCCGCATTGTAACGGATATTTTCAAACAAATTAGATGATTACTTTCACTGAACTTCAGGCTTAGTGCACCGTGAAGCTAAAACGGTTAAAGTGTGTTTGCACAAGAAAATATCATAATTGCTGTGCTCTGCATTACATGTAACAGTTGTGCTACAGTAATATTAACATAAAACTGTTTGTATCAACAAAAAGATTTACCTGCTGTGCATTACATGTAACAGTTGTGCTACAGCTTGCATTTGTATTAGTGCTTGTACAGCTTAAACAGTCCAGCGTGTCTTTAAAAGAAAATGAGTTTAATGTTGTCAAAACTAGCATAACCATCAGTGTTCTATATTTATAGTTAGCTTTGTGTATTTAAAAGAAAGTTAAAAATCTGGCAAATTGATGGAAATGCTGAAAGACTGGGCACTAGGAATTGTTGCTTTTACTTAATATTAAGATACAAATAAATACAAATTGATACAAGAAGCAAAGATAAAAAATACTTTAACTCACATGTGTGTTTAACATTGACTAGAAGCCATATCAGAACAAAACCTGAAATGATAAGCACTGTATTTAATGAACTACCAATAATTCTAGGTCATCGCCCCAATCAAAATGTCCACGTCTGGACAAGTACTCTTATGTTTTTAGGTACTAATATGATGCAGCAGTTACTTGTAATCACGCCCCATCCATTCGGTAAAGCGGGGGACTTTTGCTTTTCAAAATCGCCGGTGAGGTCCTGCTTATTAGAACAGTGAAATGTTATTATCCACGTTAAATACGAGATTAATCACGGCCAGTTTTTTGCACGAAGCAAAACAATCATATCGACCCGGCAGTGTGTGCAAGAACAGACAGAAAATTATTCATACTTAACCCCCATCATTCCCGGTTGGTTAAAAAGATAAGTACACAATCTTATGTAATGTAATTTTAGTGAAAAAAAAACAGTAATAATACCACATTATGCCCACCTAAGGTATTATATAGTGAGTGGACAGTTAAAAGTCAAAATAAGATTACATTTTGCGTATTTCCTTTCATTTTTATACCTTTCCTCGCATGGACGATAAATTACTCACATGGCAAAAGAAAACAATTTCTATCAATATTCATCAGAATTAACCTGTAACGTTGAATTTAGAAAAAGAGTTGGGCAGTCTTTTCATATTTTAGGCAGATTTGCATTTTATCCTTAACATTTTTCCATTAAAGCAGGTAATCTTTTAAAAGTATAGTCAAATCGGAACAAAGATCAACAAGGAAGGACGACATTCAATGAACGCACCCCAAAACAAAACCAGCAAAACATGACCACCAGCAATTCCTTCTTATACCGGTTTCATTTATACCAAAAAGACATGTTTGAACTTGAAATGATTTCTTAATAAGTTTGTAGCCGTACGTTTGAGATTAATTTTAATCATTTAACAGAATAATCGCGTACACAAGAACATACATGTGCACATTGTATGTATATAAACGTTACATGGAACATTTTGATTTATCACAAAGAACTCTTTCAACTGTTTAAAAATTAATAGTATTGCTCATTTAATTAACTTATTTTTTTGCGTAATTATCAGTTTATATGTATCGGCATTCTTGTGTGTGATAATGTTTATAATTACATAAATAAATTAGCAGTATTTTTGCTTCCAGTTCCATGCTAATTTACATGAAAATTTTAAAAACGTTTTTAAAAGTTAAATATTGTGAAGTGAAGAAACAGTAATTTACACATTGCACGTTAACGGCACTTACAATCCACGTAGATTGGAAAAAAAGTCGGAATATACAAAGAATAGCCTTTAATGCGTTAGTCACGCAGTAGACGTATAGTAATAAATACTGAAAAATAAGTCATTATAATTTACATCTTTTGGCTAATTTATCTGAAGGCATGAGCTTTTAACCGCAAAATCGAAAACGAAGACATTAATTCATTCCTATGTTTCATAATGTGATCAAAGTTCAATATCCTAAAATAATGAATTACAATACAAACTTACCAAGTCTCATCTTCAACATTAGTACACAACGTTTAGGTTGTTAACGAAGAACTATATAACCATAATGTTATCTCATGTTTATATACGATTTTAAGACTGAAACAGGAGATTTATGTCATTATATTTGAACCTTGTTATCAGCCAAATAAGAAAAAATTGTCTCTTTAAGTGAAGTAAATGTCGCCTACAATAAAAGATAAGAAAGCTAGTCACTTCCTTTTGTCTTAAAAATTCATACACCTAAATACCTTTGTCTTAATTGTTCGCTAACAAACCCTATAACAAGTTAAGAAACTGATAGCGAACAGCATGGATCCTGATCAGACTGCGCGGATGCGCATGCTGGTCTGGATCCATGCTGGTCGCAAACCCATTATGTTGGTTTTGTCGTGACACGGCTCATATGTACAATCATGTAGTATGAGAATAAAGATTAACAAGGCAGAGCGATTTTTTACAGAATGCCATCCCCACACAAAACCTAGGCAAAGGCACTTAACAGATCACTCATACTTATTGTAGAAAAGACCGGTGATGACAATTCTACATAAACTGACGAGTTCAACATCACAGTTTCCACAGTATGAATTCACAATTTTAACTCCGTGAATTATGCGAATTCAAGATTTCAACCCATGAATACACGTTTTCAGTATGATAAAAAGGCGAATTCAACTTCAATATATAAAATTCGTTGAAATCGTGAATCTATGAAGTTGAATTTGTGAAGTTCAAAGTTCGAAAGCTGAATTCATGAAGCCGAACTCGTGAATAAATGAAGTTTAAAGTGTTAAATTTGTGAAGGTGGAATCGTTAACAGTAATGAAGTTAAAGTCGTGAATTCTTTAAAGTTGAAGTCGTCATGCATAAAAAAAATTAGTAAGATAGGAGATTTCAAAAGCTCAGTGAAGGCCCATTTACTAGAACAGTTAGGAAATCATAATTAAATTCACTAGTATGACTAGATATTGATCTCATTTTTATTGTTTTTCTTTTAGCAAAGTTAATGGAAATACTAAAGTTTGATATTTTACGTAAATGACATCTTCCAGTTTCCAAAGTTTTGTATTTTTCAATGTTTTTGTTTTTTATATTGTATATTATAGTAAGTATATATCCAAGGACCCCATTGGAAATAAGCCTTCGGGCTTTCATGGGCAATCCGAGGTTATTACACACTACTCTATACATGCTTCCACTTTCGTCGTCACATTTTATTAAACTAGTAAATTGATATCTAGTCATAGGAAAGAAAGAGTTTTAGATTTTGTTTTTAGTTATTATATTTTATTATCTAATGAGCCGTCTGTGATATTTATGTTTGACAAACTTCCGAAATATTTTATTACAATTGTGTCATCAGTTTTATATAAAATGCTTAAGTGTTTGTATTATGTATATGTGTGTTTTAACCTGAATAAATATCTATCTATCTATCTCGTGTTTCCCTGAATTCATTATATCATGTATATTGTAATCCCGAATTCATAAAGTTGAAAGTTGATAATCTTTCATTTCTTTTTGCTTTATACCCTTTAAAATCGAATATTTTGTTTCTCCGTTTTTAATTTGGATATCATGTGCACGGACTATTTTTCAACATATATATTAAATGATAACATTCCCGCGCTATTTACAATTCCATATCGGCACCGTGTTGATAATATTCAAGCCAAATTTTTGTGTTTTTACATATATACATGTATATATTCTATACTATAAAATGAATTACATACGTGTACAAGGTATGTATCTGAAACATGTATATTCATTTCTCATTATTATCATTATCAGTGGGTTTTTAAAAATTATAATCCCCCTTTCAAAGAAGTGGGGATATATTGTTTTGCATTTGTCTGTCGGTCAGTACGTCGGTTGGTCCGTCGGTTAGTAGACCAAATGGTTTCCGATCAATAACCAAAGAACGCTTAGGCCTTATGTCAAAATAGTTTCCAATTAATAACTCAACAACTTATGTGCTTTGGGCCTTCAAACTTCACAGGTGCATTGGTGTTATCCTGTAAATGACCTCTATTAGTTTTTGGATCAAGGGGTCAAAGACCAAGGTCATATTGACGTTTTAGTGACTAGTTACCATTGGTTGTTTGTCACTAGGTCAAAAGTCAGTCACAATAACCTGGCCACATGACTAATTAGCTGCCGAGAGGGGGCATACATGTTTTACAAATTCTTATATTTTATTTTTTGGCGGCTCAGAACTTGACTGTCTTGGCGTTTAATAAATCTCACTTAGGAAAGCTATGTTTTTTTCTTGTATTAACCCCCTCTCCCCACCCCCCCAACCCCCCCCCCCCCCCAAAAAAAAAAAAAAAAAAAAACTCACATCAACGAAAGTTAATAAAAAGACAATTCTTAAAAACAAGTATCACGATCGCAATTTGAGTTAGATTGTAAAATGCATGTCTTCCCATACATTCCAGAAGTGAAAGCAACATTTGGAAGTTACCATGTACCAATGAAATCGAAAATTATTTTCCCGGAACAGGGTCTATATAAATGAATTAATGAATGACATTAAATGCACATCATGCTTCAAGAAAATAATAAAATGTTCCGTCTCTGAAAAGGGCAAACTTAAGTTTTATTATTGGTTGTAGAGCATGTAACCAGAGGAACGAAGCGCTGCATGTGAAATATTTGTCATAAAAATAGCAAAATGTAAAAAAGTAGTATTTTGTTTTTCATACAAAACATTGAATCTCTATAACTATACTAGTTCCTAGAAATAAAAAAAAACATTTCTGGCGCATAATGGGCCTTTAACATATACAGCCGACTCAACTTATAACGAAGTCGCTGATAACGAATTTTCGTTAATAACGAAGTTCAACTAAATCTGAATCTGTCGTCCACGACTGATTCCTTCTTTATTTTATATTAATTTATTATATTTATCGAAGAAAGTAGCAAATACTTTTGGCAGTGTCATTACAAGTGACCATATTACCATAAACAAAAGTCACGTGAGCATCACACCAGATTATGCAATCAAAAGTTGTGTTCACTTTGATTTCTACGGTGTCCTTATCGTGCCATTTAGAATGTCGTCCGTCGCGTCTAAGGGTAGACACACGACAATGCGAAGTGACATCGCGACAATGCGAAGCGACGCTCGACAACGCGAAGCGATATGCGACAATGCGAAGCGACGCTCGACAGTGTCAAACGATATGTTGCACTGTCGCCTAGAAATGTCGCGGTAAAAAAGGGCGACATTTAAGAAATGTCGCTTCGCGTTGTCGAGTGTCGCTTCGCATTGTCGAGCGTCGCTTCGCGTTGTCGCGATGTCACTTCGCGTTGTCGCGATGTCACTTCGCGTTGTCGCATTGTCACTTCGCATTGTCGAGTGTCGAGGTTGGTAGAAGTGCATACCACGACACTCGACAATGCGAAACGACAACGCGACAGTGCGATACGACGCTCGACAATGCGAAGTGACACTCGACATCGCGAAGCGACATTTTTAAAATGTCGAGTAAATGTCGCGTTATTTTTATGATTTTTACCACCGCGACGCTCAACATTGCGAAGCGACACTCGACAATGCGAAGCGACACTCGACAACGCGAAGCGATACTCGACAACGCGAAGCGACACTCGACAATGCGAAGCGACATTTGGAATAATATCGTATCGCATTGTCGTGCGTCTACCGGTGCTGGTCAGAATTTACTAACTCAACCGACAAACGGTGCGATCATGGAAGGGGTCGCACTAAACTGCTGACGAATTAGCTGACGATATAGATATATAGGAAACTGCTGATCAGTTAAATAAAGAAGGATTATCGGAAAATGCTGACCAGTTACACAAAGAAGGGAAACATTGAAGGTGTGAAGTTATATAAACACGCCGTAGGGGGTAATAAAAAGATGGGAAATTACTTTTATTCTTTTAATTATATTTTTTAATTTTTGCATTTATATGGACTATGTTTATAAACTAAATTAATATATACATTTAAAGTACCATAATATCATACATTTTAACACGGATTTACATTACTACATGTAATATAAATTCCGTGATTTTAAAAGGATATATTTAACAGCTTTTTATACCTCTAAAGATATGCAAAAATTTGAATTAATGTTTTTATAAAGAATAATGATGTTATGAGTTTTATCAAAATCTCTTGTTAGTGATATTTCAATAGAAAAATCTTGTAACGGAAAAAAAATGTATTTTCAAAAGCAATAATTGCAATTTGAATTAATATTAAATAAGTCAGCAGTGTTTTAACTTAATTAAATGTCGACAAAATTTTATACAATATATTGAATTTCGTACATTATAAAAATGAATTAAAATTTCAAGACAAAATATATTTTTTTCTATATTTCTAACTGGTCAGCAGTTTCCCTATATCTGTATATATCTAACTGGTCAGCAGATTCTACTACATGTGTATATGTTTAACTGGTCAGCATTTTCTCGCCTGAATGTAAAGAGCGTTTAAATTTGCTAACCATATAGAATAAGAAGAGTTTTACGGCTTAAATCAATTTGAAATAACATTAAATTGGTCAGCAGTGTTTTTACTTAATTAAAATGTCGACATAATTTTATAAAATAAATTGAATTTGCATACATAATAAAAATGAATTACAATTTCACGGCAAAATATATATTTTCTCTATATATCTAACTTGGTCAGCAGTTTCCCCTATATATCTAACTGGTCAGGCCAGATTCTACTATATATGTTTAACTGGTCAGCATTTTCTCGCCTGAATGTAAAGAGCGTTAAATTGCTGACCATATAGAATAGAGAGTTTTACGGCTTAAATCAATTTGAATTAATATTAAATAAGTCAGCAGTGTTTTAACTTAATTAAATGTCGACACAATTTTTATACAATATATTGAATTTCGTACATTATAAAATGAATTAAAATTTCACGACAAAATATATTTTTTTTTCTCTATTATATCTAACTGGTCAGCAGTTTCCCTATATATCTAACTGGTCAGCAGATTCTACTGTATGTTTAACTGGTCAGCCATTTTTCTCGCCTGAAATGTAAAAGAGCGTTTTTAAATTTTTGCTGACCATATAGAATAAGAAGACTTTTACGGCTTAAATCAATTTGAAATAATATTAAATTGGTCAGCAGTGTTTTTACTTAATTAAATGTCGACATAATTTTATAAAATATATTGAATTTGCATACATTATAAAATGAATTACAATTTCACGGCAAAATATATTTTTCTATATATATCTTAACTGGTCAGCAGTTTCCCTATATATCTAACTGGTCCAGCAGATTCTTCTATTGTTTAACTGGTCAGCATTTTTTCTGCCTGAATGTAAAGAGCGTTAAATTTGCTGACCATATAGAATAAGAGAGTTTTACGGCTTAAAATCAATTTGAATTAACATTATTGGTCAGCAGTGTTTTTACTTAATTAAATGTCGACATTATTTTATAAAATATATTAAATTTGCATAATGAGTAACAATTTCGCTAGCATTTAAATATATTTTTCTCTATATATCTAACTTTTCAGCAGATTCTACAATATGGTCAGCATTTTAATAACATATTTTTTGACTGTTTTATTGTATTTTGTCATAGAATAAATCAAGAATGACACGTTTCGCGTGTGAAAATCGATTTTAATATGAACCTTGGGGCATAATCGATCTCGATAAATTATCAGTTTAATGGATATCTGTGGAAACATGTTTGTTTATAATGTAATAAAAGCTTATTAACTATAACAATTAGCACATTATTAATTTTTGTTCAATATTACTTATAATTATACGAACAACAAAATAAGGAAACAGAAATCACTTTGTTTCATATTTGCACTAAATACGACATAATAATTATATTTTGTTAAAATATACATTACGTATATGTACATGTATATATTTTTAACCTATGATGCATAGTTTTATACATACTTGAAACAAATTATGATTTTTCGTACATCATATTTTGACTACATTTTTAAAATTTTAACCAATATATAACACATAGAAGAAAATTCATTAAGGTACTTAAAATAAAATATTATATCAAAATAAATTGAGAAATATACAGTATATATCAATTGAATTTTTTATAATTAATATGTATCATTTGTAATATTGACATCTTGAAAAAAAACATTTTATCAAGTATTTCTCGAACTCGCCTGCTTAATATCACCACGGCAATTTGACACCTTCATTGTTTTCCCTTCTTTATCTAACTGGTTCAGCAGTTTTCGATAATCCTTCTTTGTTTAACTTGGTCAGCAGTTTTCCTATATATTCTATATCGTCAGCTAATTCGTCAGCAGTTTAGTGCGACCCCCTTCCATGATCGCACCGTTTTGTCGGTGAGTTAGTAAATTTCTGACCAAAGCACCGGTAAGACGCACGACAATGCGATACGATATTATTCCAAAATGTCGCTTCGCATTGTCGAGTGTCGCTTCGCGTTGTCGAAGTATCGCTTCGCGTTGTCGAGTGTCGCTTCGCATTGTCGAGGTGTCGCTTCGCAATGTTGAGCGTCCGCGGTGTAAAAATCATAAAAAATAACGCGACATTTACTCGACATTTTAAAAAAAAATGTCGCTTCGCGATGTCGAGTGTCACTTCGCATTGTCGAGCGTCGTATCGCATTGGTCGCGTTGTCGTTTCGCATTGTCGAGTGTCGTGGTATGCACTTCTACCAACCTCGACACTCGACAATGCGAAGTGACAATGCGACAACGCGAAAGTGACATCGCGACAACGCGAAGTGACATCGCGACAACGCGAAGCGACGCTCGACAATGCGAAGCGGACACTCGACAACGCGAAGCGACATTTCTTAAATGTCGCCCTTTTTTACCGCGACAATTTCTAGGCGACAGTGCGACATATCGTTTGACACTGTCGAGCGTCGCTTCGCATTGGTCGCATATCGCTTCGCGTTGTCGAGCGTCGCTTCGCATTGTCGCGATGTCACTTCGCATTGTCGTGTGTCTACCCTTAGACGCGACGGACGACATTCTAAATGGCACGATAAGGACACCGTAGATTTCCGATAGTAATTGATTTTTTGCTACCTTCGATATAATTATAAAAAATAATACTTTTACTCAAATAAAATGAAACACTAACTGTTTTAACTTTCGATTTACCACTAAGTAACCGTTAAAAATCAAATATAATTGTATAGTTAATATAACATACAGAGAAAAAAGTAACGGCAGTGTTTGTCGATATTGAATGCTTTGTTGACAGAGCCGACTTGGTGATATCTGAAATAAATTATGAATGCGCGCGCTCAGGCTTTCGTCGACTATAAAGTCGTCTGCAAAGCGGAAAACGCGGCAAAACTTTACGTGAAACAAGTCGGGAAAACTTTACTAGTTCAACAAGCAAGTGTGACAGTCGACTGAAGGAAACGATCACAACCAGAAAAGGGTCTACCGAGGGAAGGAACTTATACTATACAAGGTAAATTTCAAATAGATTATGTTATTTGTTTCAAGTTTTAATACTACTTCTTCTATTTTATTTCACATATTTTGTTTTGACTTAAAACATTAATTTTATATCATATATCAAACAATATTTTATTTATAAATACTTTTTAAATAATAAATATTTGAAAATAAGTCTTATATCACGATTGAAGTGAATTGTTATTATGTACTATTTCCAGTACTTTTATTATGTGAAAATATTTTTATATTTCCGAATATTGGATTTCTTTTTTATCTAAATCGTTAAAAATTTGCTAAAAATTACAATCCTAAAACCTTTTTGTTTACTTGATATAACAATCCATAGATATATGTAATATAACAGTTCATAAATAGATTTGATATTATAGTCCATTAATGTAATAATTCTTTGTAATGTAAATCCATAAATATATTCGATAATATAAAAAGTAATAGCACGAACAATTATGTCTGGAAAAATAGTTTTACAGATTTAACTTATTTTAAGACATTACTATTTTATTTTCACCAAAGTCTTCAGTATATCTTTTATTTCTATTAAAGTGACATTATGCTCATGTTTTCTTTGTCTAAATTAGTTAAATGGACTATATATGAGTCGCGTCACGACAAAACCAACATTGTGCGTTTGCCACCAGCATGGATCAAGACCAGCCTACGCATCCGCGCAGTCTGATCAGGATCCATGCTGTTCGCTATCAGTTTCTCCACTTGTAATAGGGTTGGTAAGCGAACAGCATGTATCATATGTCAATAGTGATTGACCAACAGTTGATATCAGAAAATGTTTAAGATAAAACATAAATGTGTCAAAAATATAAAATTCCGATGGTTCTTGAAAGAACTTATCTTGGGTCACGTCATTTATTTATCGTTCCTACGAAGTAAATTATAAAATTGAAAAGAAATATGGCAAATTATTTAATTTTACCCATGAAATATGGTGCTACATCAGTCAAATATATTTCATATTTTTTAAAAATAAATATGAGTTATAAATATGAAAGTGGGCGGAGTCAAAACTCATATTTATTTCAAGGGACTTCTTTCGCCATTTTGTTTGAAAAATCTGATAAATACAAAACAACTTTTTCTTGAATTTTGTTTTGAAAACTATCTAGAATGATAGAAAATGGTCTAACTAAGAAAATCAATCGAACACCAATATCTTTAATTCAGTAATTAACGCTGTACAGACGTTTAAAGAATTGTTTAAATGACGTCACAATGTAGCGCCAAACAGCGCGTGCTTACGCATTAATTACTGCGCGCTGTACAATTGCAGTTGGTAGCAAGCAAGGGGTTTTGTTACCATTTTCTTTGATAATGAAATTAAATAAAAAGGTTATTTTTTAGTTTTTCGTGAAATATGGTATATATTTTCACTCAACATGATAAAATGCTACATATTTTCACTCGCCGTACCGGCTCGTGAAAATATGTGGCATTTTATCGTGTTTCGTGAAAATATATTTCATTATTTCACTCAAACGAAAAAATATCCTCTTAATATTATTTTTTTGGACCTTTTCCTATCCACCCACTATATACTTTTGGATGGGCATAATGTCACTTTAATAGCTTTACGATGATTTTTTTAAGGTTTTTATAATATTGTTTACAGTTTATGACATTTAAACATTACAATAAGGAAACATTTTCAATAATTTCAAAATAAATAAATAAAATGTCAAAATTAAAATAAAGTTTTGTAAAGAAAAACAATTCTAAGGTATGTTTATTTTTATCATTTTTTTTTCGCTTTAAATATTTATTGGAAATTAATCATTTTACGACAATTAAACGACCGAAAATGAAATGATACGTAATGTCGCAAAAAGTTATCATACGGCTCTTCCCTTTTTCTTATTGTTCATCAAATGTTATACAAGCAATGCAAATGGAATGCCACATTCAAAATATTCAGTGACTGGAAAAAAAAATTCTTATCTACTAGACCACTTTCAATTATCATGAGCACATTGTGTTAAATGGTACGATTCTCCCAGCATGATTTTTGAAATTGTAATCTTTTATTTATAACTGCACATCAGTAATAGGGTTTTATAAGTTATATTTTATTTAACTATCGTATTGCAATCAAGCAATCTAATTTAATTTAAAGGAACATTATGCCTCAGAAAATAAAGTATTTTTACTCCATGATAAAAAGCAAACACGAGTTTAATAACATTTAGTATTTGGTGTCTATACAAAATACTAAATCAGTTTTGGTGTGTGTTAAATGTTATCTATCTTATCGAATGCATTTTATATTCGAGTGGACATTTTATATTCGAATGAACATTTAATTTATTTATTCGAATGTACATTACATATTCGAGTAAACATTTATTTCAACGTAATAATACGAGGTTTATACTTTTACTTTATTTTTATGTTACAAATTGTCGACAAAAGTAAAATCCTTGCTTTAAACATGTTATTCGACCTGAAAAACCCCACATTTTTGCAAATTACAGAATTATAATTATATCTGAAGGAGGTACTGAAAGATCATAGAAAAACATCTTACATCTTGTTTATGTCACACACATGCCAATGATCGCTCGAACTTCAAAATCAATTCACTTGTGATGATAGAATCAAGTATTTTCATTTCCAATTTTCCTTTTCCGTTACAAACGAGTTCAAAGTAAAGGTTATGTTTGCATGTTTGGAGTATTATATAAATAAAATATTAACACTTGTGTATTATGAAAATTAAGTTAGGTTTGTTTCAATCGCTTAAATCATGCATTTTGCTATAATTGATCTCATGACAACTTTGTTTTTAATTTTATTAAAAATATAAAAAAGAAAGAAAAACAAATGTAGGCGTGCTGCTTTAATACTTAAAAACATACTTCGCCAAACTGAATGAATTATTCTACTTAAATTACTCGATTTTCGATCATACTTCAGATGAACTATTATATCAATTCTTTTATACAGATCATAATATATATGTGAACATACAATATATAATTCGATTTTTGTGCTATACGCCAATGATATGATACATATGATAAAACTGACCTAAAATGTCAAATATCATCCCCATATGTTTAGTATTCCGCGTAAGGTAATGCGGTATATTCCAATCAATTATGGAAAGCCAAGTGTGCACTCTCCTCACATTCTAACAGAAGCATGACCGAATTATCAATTAGGAATTTATGTGTCTGCGTGAATTTTTATTGACATCAATTATGTATTCCCTTCTAGTAATCTGATAATAATTTTATGACAAAAATATACAATTATAACATTTTATTTGGGGTTGAATTCAACAGTCTATTAAGGATCCTGATAATCACAAATATACATGTAAAAAGGGTGTAAAATGTTAAACCTTTCACGTTGTAAGAATTGTATTTTTGAATCAGAAGCTCGCCATATGGGCATGAAATTGGTTCTGACATGTTTGTTATAAGCAATTTGATGTTAAAGACACATTATGCATAAAAATCTTCTTTAGAAGATTAAACATAACTTTTATATTGTTAGAATAATTGTTTAACAAAATGTTGTATGCTTATCACCTGAAGTAAGTCTATAGTGCTGGGTGTAAAATCGTGTGTAATATCGTAGCAAAATGTAAACAAAGTAGTAATTTGACTTCCATACAAAGTACTAAATCACCATATAACTAACCTAATTGCCAAAGGGTAACAGAAGCAAAAGATGCTTCAGGTTATTGGCCAATGAGTAACTTTTTGGATACTATTGCATGACAAAAAAAAAAGATATAATGATTTTAAAAAATAAATAAAAGCATTTTTTGGGGGATACTGGGCCTTTAAATAGTATAAAATATACACAACTAACAAACAAAACGAGGCACTATTTCACATTAAGAACTGTATAGAAGGTCTTGCAGATTTCAAAATATTCATTATATTGTTTCGAACAAAACTGATTCTATCGGTTTCGTAGACAGCCACCAAACCTTTATAAGTCTCAGCTAGCGTACTCCTCCAATAACCGCCAGTATTGTATTCAAGAATTTATAATAACCCCATATTATTGCCTTCCAAAAATCATGATAATGCCTGTTTTATAAACAATTCAAAGAAGAACAGTTTTGCGTATCATGATCAAATCATCTCTCATCAACACGACAAAACTGGCAAATGTAAAATTATTGCAAACAATGCGCAAATATGATATTTCTGATATGAATAATTTATACTTTATAACAATTCATTACGTCATTAGATCGACAAGAACAAAAAACAGGAGTGTTAAACTAGGATACAGATATGCATGTGTTATAACATATTTCATTGTTGATATCAGTTTCAGAAGGCTTTTACTATTTGTTTTACAAGGAACAATAGAATAAAAACAAGGTGTTTAATGAATTTAAAATTATTAATGATAGAAATACAGTTGAAGCCGCAAGCATCCAATTGGAAAAAAAAGATGAATAAACAGCAACAAATTTCAAACTACAAAACCTATGAAAATTATATCAATTGTGTAAAAAGTGTTAACTTATATTCACACATGCTTTATGCAAAATAATATGTTATAGTTTACTATATCATTATTACTTACTATTTACTTACTAAAGTATCGGGTCGTCTTTTGCAGTTTAAGCATGTTGCAAGTAGTTAACAATCATAGAAAGCAACTAGGTTAAGCACTCAATTTGTAAATTTGAATAGCTTTCCAACTTAAAAAAATCGTGCTGATTTTTTTCTAGGGGGCGTTACATAACTGATTGCATATTGCTTACAGTATCTCTCCTGTACAGACTCAATAACACCGTGTCACTGTATCAGCTATGGTCAACTTTTTGCATTCTATACTGCACTAGAGGGATCATCCCTAGTCCAGATTTTTAACAAGTGATGATCATAGTGCATTTCCCATTTATTGGTCTACTACTCACATTTAGTTGTATCATGCATACAATTTTATTTATTCAACTGCATTTATGCAACTGTAATTTATAAGTTTTTGAGACATAATGTGCCTTTA